GCTGGGGAATTCTGGGAGTTGAAGTCCACACATCTTAAAGTTGCTAAGGTTGAGAAATATTGGCACGGAGTAATGAGAATGGATGGGTGGCTGTTTCTTGGCATAAATTAAGAAAGCAAGAATGCCGATGCTTGGTTTGTCTTCCTCTCCCTCACCACTTCTCTCCCTGCAAACCCACCTCTAAGAAGAGAGAGGCCATAGGACAGAGTTAGAATTGTAAAATGATCCGTTTGAAATACTGGGTCAACATCTGAATAAATGCAGGTTGGTTGAATTTCGTGGCTTACAAAAATAAAGTATAATGATTGTCCTGCTTATTTTGTATTATACTGTGGAATAGAAATCAGTTAAGTCCCTAAGATTTACAAGGCAAATCAAGTTAGGCTAAATCTAGACGAGTTTTTATTGGTTGAGTTCACACAACACATCAAGCCCAAACCAAAGAAACGGCATCATTATATGCTATGATGTGATGTATATATATTGGACTATTTAGTATGTTGTTCAAACCAAGCCATTGTAGTTTATTTAATAATTATAATGGTATAGTTACAGTAAACCCTCAGTTTAATAGATTAAGACTTGTTTGTTAAAGCAGAATGTTAATTTATGCAAGTATTTTGTGCATGTGTAACATAAAAATAGATTTTTACAAGTATTTTAATATATTGCATGTATTTTATATGTTTTTAAAATGGTAGATGAGATTTTGTGCATGCACAAAAGCATGTAACATGGAAAGATTTTAGTTTTTGTATCTAAAATACGCAGGTTTGCTGCGTTGATATTATATAATTCACATGAAGCATTTTGAATATTTAGACGTAGCGTATAAGTACATATCTGCAAAATGTTTGTATGTCTTCCTCAATTAAATAATTTTTATGTCTTTTGTTCCTTTTTTGTCCCCCAGTGAGTTTAAAGCGCTGATCAATTCCATCCGGTTATTTTGGCTGTTTTGCACTTTTTTTCTCATCCAATGGGTTTGAGGGCCAGCTTGGCCTAGGGCTTAAGGCACCAGGCTAGAAAGCAGGAGACGGTGAGTTCTAGTCCCTCTTAGGCACGAAAACTGGCTGGCTGACTTTGAGCCAGTCATTCTCACTCAGCCCAGCTCACCTCCCAGGGTTGTTGTGGGGAAAATAGGAGGAGGAAGGAGTATCAGGTATGTTTGCTCCCTTGAGTTATTTATAAAAATAATAAAGGCGGGATAAAAAAATGGATTAGGTTACCAATTCATGGTTGATAATTACCTCTCTTAATTTATGTACTCAACACGGTAATCACAACAAAGGTATCATACCAACTGATTATGTCCATGGTGGGCAACAAAGGAACAAGAACTAATTTTACTAGTTTTTTGTATATGAGATTTTAACACTAGTGGTGGGCAAAAAAGGAACAAGAACCAATTTTAATAGTTTTTTCCCCATGATATGCCTTATTTATTTATTTATTTATCAATCAATCAATCAATCAATCAATCAATCATATTTATATAGCCGCCCATCTCATACAAAGTGACTCTGGGTGTTATACAACAATGCCAGTCCATTGGAGTTGGGTGGCTTATGATTCAAATAAATAAATAAATAAATAAATAAATAAATCTTTCAAAAAAACTGAAGTTACTAACGCTACTTGAAAGATGCAAACATATCCATGTGTATTCATTCATGAAAATAATTCCAAATATTGTTTTGTGTGAATATTTGTATCAGACCTCCAGATCCCTCCCTGTGTCTTAAAGAACCTCCCGGCGATAGAGTTTGACTTCCTATCTCAGCTGTAAGACTGAGTGTAAAATGAACGTAATGCACATACACAGCCCTACTTTCAGAGAGAAACAAGAGAGACATTTTATGAAAATTAATACACTGTCTTATCAGATGCTTCTGTGCTTTGTTTATTTTGCTTCCTGTTCTTTTTCAGAAGCATGGAAAATAAAACCCTAGGGAGGCCTACATAGTTTCTCCTGTGTGATTCCCAGGGATCTCTTGGGAACAGCAGATTTCTCTTGCTCACTGGTTTAGTATCTATACTGTTAATAGCATGCCAGTGTCAAAAAATTCTTTTTGGTCAGGGACTATAACTGCGTTAGTTTAAAAATAAATGGTAGGGGTTATGATGTCATAGAAAAGGTCTGGTGAATTGTTATTCTACAACCCTTAAATCTTTGGTGTGTTTACTTTAGGTTTTTCTCACTGCCATGTTAATGCTACTTACACTGGGAGTACTATTTCCAAAAATAGTGGCCAGGGGACAAGATGAAAATCTTCGCAATGGCAGCAACATTTTGCAAGAGCCAGTGTATTCTTATGAAAACATCGTGTTGCCAGAAGAACATATCCCGTATTTTTTACACAATAATCCAGGCATTGCCACTGCCTGCAGGCAAGATCCTTTTTGCCCATATAAAGTAAGTATTCCTTTTCCTAACCTAATGGGGACTTGTTTCATTCTTAGCATCATATCAGTTAAAAGTGAGGCAAACATTAGATTAATTCCAATCAGATTCTAGCTTCTGTGGTTGAATCGTCACTAAAGACACCAGACAGAGGGTCCTTATTCCACCAGATGATTGAAGAATAGAAAAACAGTAGGAATACATGGATAGTGTTTCCAGAGGAGGAACACGCAAAGTGGATTCTCCAAGAGATTGGAGCTATAATACCATTCCCCCAGGATCTGCCAAGCCCCCACTCTCTTGGCCTTCCAGAAGGCTGTAAAAAGCTGGTTCTTCCTCCAAGTGTTGGGATAAAGTGAGGAGCCTGAAAATTGTGATGTTGGATGCATTGGAGGAGGATGACTGAGGCACCACGTTTTTGCTCTTTTATTGTTTTTATTTTGTTTTGTTTTATTGCTGTTGTGAACCGTCCAGAGTTGTTTTTTTTTTTTTTAAGATGAGTGGACATATAAGTCTTTCAAATAAATAAACAAGTTAACTGGGAGCTTTTAAATAATTTATAAATTATCAAGTTAAGGATGTGCAGTGAGATGGCAAAGTGTGCAGATACCAAACTGTTCAGGGTAGTAAAATCAAGAAGGAATTATGACATGTTCCTAAAGGATCTCTCCAAAGCGGGTGAATGAATCTAAAATGGCAAATGAATAAGCAAGTGCAAAATGGTTCACAGTGGCATAGGAAACTAAAACTTCACATTATTAAGACCTGAGTTGGCAGTCACTAACCAGGAAAAGGAACTTGGAATCTTGGTAGGTAATTCATCCAAATGTACAATCCTAGTAAACAAAGAAAACCCCATAGGGTTAATTAATTAGGAAGGGAATTGAAAATGGAACTGCCAATGTAGTAGTGGCATAGTAACTTAAGATGCACAGTTTTTTCTAACATGCACAGTTCAGCTCTCCATTCCTCCAAAGTATACCAAAAAGGGCAACCAGGATGACTAGGGTGTTAGAATAGTTCCTTTGAGGAAAGACTTGAATAACTTTAGCTTAGACCAAGAGAGGATAAGGGAAGATATGATAGAGGTATGTAAAACATTCATAAAAATATAAATAGAAACTTTTCTTCTACTTTCACAATATTAGAATGTGTGGTCATTCATTAAAACAAGACATGTTAAGATGCAGGACCTATAATAGGAAGTATTTGGAAGTGAATGTGGAATTGACTGCCATCAAATGTACTGAGGGCCAATAATTTAAGCTATTTTAAAAGGTGATTGAATCAACTAATGGAGGATTGGGCTACTACAAAAATCGTATCATTGATATTTATTACCTCCCGAATCATATGTGGCATAGTTAAGAACACCTCTTAGGGAGCAGAAGCAGAAGAGGACCATCACTTTCCTATTCTTGTTTGTGAACTTCCAGTGGTCAGAATGAAAGCTTGTTTGGTGTATTGGTTAAGGCACCAGACTAGAAATTGGGAGACTGACTTGTAGCCCCACCTTAGGCATAAAGCCATTTGGGCGACTTTAGCCCAGTTGCTCTTTCCCAGCCCTAGGAAAAAGGACATGGCAAAATGCTTCTGAAAATGTTGCCAAGAAAACTGCAGGGACTTATCCTGGCAGCTGCTAAGAGTAAAGACTGATTTGAAGACGCACACACACACAAAGTGGTCAGAATGCTAGACTAGATGGGCCATTCGCCTATTCATCAGGGTTCTTGTTATGTGAAAACTCTAAAATCATGCTGCATTTGTCTTTGCCAAATTCTCTTGATTATTTCTCTTGATTATAACATATTTGCAAAATATGATAAGCGCCCAGGTTGAGCTTGCAACACGATGGCTACGTTTTTGGAATTTCCTTATTACTGAAGATTTTGCATTGTCCAAGGTTGTTTTGGAATGAATTATAGATTGTAAAGCAAGAATGCTTATTAAAGGCTTATTAAAACAGCTGCTTTGATATTACGTACAGTGGTATAATGCATGGCTTGTGCACTGAGTAATATACTTACTCTGTTCTAAGTATTTATGCTTATGTGTTAGAACAGACTTTCCCCGACCTTCAGATCGCAACTTCCAGAATTTCCAGCTAGGATGGATTTGTAAGAGAGTTTGAAAGGCAGTATAAGAATGATGTTATTTACCATTGTAGTCTGGTGGATATGAATTTAGAATAGGATGTATTCATAGTTTTTTGCAAGCAGTGAATTTAAAATATATGCAATGCTGACTTTTTGTTTTGCGCCTTATCTGAATATTTCTACAGAAGTTTTGCACCTTATCTGAGTATTTCTACCGAATTTTTAAAATGCTCAGTTACAAGCAAATGTTCAGTTACATTTTCCAAAAGCAGAAATTCACAGTTGAATATCCATCTTAATTGTACAGTTGAGTAAGTTAAGTTTTTATGCTATCATTTTAATAGTAATTCTGTACTGACAGAAACATTTGAAGAAATTGAAAGCTTGTTGGGGTTATGAGAAATCATGCAAGCCAGAAAACAGGTTTGGATATCCAAGGTGTGATTATGCTGAAATCGGGTGGTAAGTATGGACAAAAATGCATGAAATAAAATTTCATATGAAACTCAGTGTCAAATAGCAGAATCAAACACCTTAACACATATCATGAGTGTTCTTGCGAAATGGCTGCTATTGGGGGCTTGTGCATTCAGAAAATGTCTGCCAGGGTGCCCTATGTTGATATGGATGCTTTAGAAACTTGTCTTCTTTTAAAAAGAAATTTGAGATTCTTGATTTTTGAAAAAACAGATTTGAATTAGAGAGCTCCACTTTGGCTAAGATTTCTAGCTGTGGAGATCTCTGTCTTTAAGAATACTGCAGAAGTTAGCAAGATAGAAGCCTAAATTAGTTGGATTGGAAAGTGATTGTTGAATCACCATTCCTGCCTATTTGCAAAGTTTTTATGTAGAAAAGCAAAGATAGCAGAGACTAGAAAGCATTAAAATGATTTTGATAATGTGTAGGTAGACTAGCTAAAAAAGAAGACAGGCACAACAATGACAAGGAGAGTGGAAACTGGGCCATTTTATCTCAGTCTCTTCCTTGGTTTATTTTTTGCATAATTTCTGTTCTTCACTTTGATCCTTTAGCAGAAATGAGAAAAGCACTTGGATAGAAAAAGAGCAGGGGAAGTTTCATTTTCTGAATAGGTCATTTCCTAATTCACATGAACGAATTGTTTTTAGAAGTTCCCACGAAAGGAAGTGAGGCCATTCCAAACAAATCTAGGAAGCGAGACCAGTCCATACAAATCAGTAGAAGAATTCAGACTGTGATTGGGGCACTAATACGCCTGTGAACATGCATGCAAGCAAGTACAATGATCTTCCAGTTGTTTGGTTAAAGAAGATTCTTATTTTGTTTGAAACTTTCAGAAAATGTAAGTTGCCAGGGAAGGCAATTTATTGTCCCCATATGGAAGATTAAGAGGGGCTTGGCTTTGTAACTGCCCTGCAGTGTTGTTCATACTGAAGACTGAAGGTCAGGCTTTGAATTGTGCATAACCATCTTGCATCTTGGAACTAAGCATGCACACAATTCACCGATCTGAGACCATAGCTCTACGGATTATGTGTTCAGTGGTTTCTGGAAGTAAATCCTTCTAATCTGAAGCAGTGTGAGGGATTCCAGGGGTGCTCCAGTCCTGAAGCAGAAATGTTTCATCTGGAACTATGTTTAGAATACCTTAAACTGATTTTGATTCAGGTGATTTATTTCAAGAAATAATTAAACTTCCCCCAGGACATAATGGAATTGAGGAGGTTCATCATCGTTCAGAAGAAAAAGGAATGTTTCAGATGGAAATGGAACCGTCTGTTCCTGGATCAGTAATTTTTTTTTTTTTAATATTCCTTAATGTAGCCCAATATGTTGCTGGCTTTAGGAGAGTTGTAGACCATCCTGGATGAGAGCTGGAAGAAACTATATCTGCCACCTTTCTTATTTTTCCACCCCCCTGTATTTCTCCTGGATCTATTCCAGAATGGGAAGGAGAACAGCAAAAGGAAATAGTTTTGCTCTTGCATAATATTAGATATATTCCTATGATTCCTAGCCAAAAATTCTCCATATCTTCCAAGTTTCAGCAAAAGTCATTCTATTTAAATTGCCCCTTAATGCTCCCCACAGGTCAACTCCCAATACTAAACATTCTTATGCTTATTGTACTTTTAAATATTCAGTGCACAGAAAATAAATCAAAACCTGAGTAGGATATCTGTTGTTTGGTGGAAACTTTTGCATCTTCTGACTTATTCCATAGAGAGATAGAACAATATTTGGGTATTAGGGTTTAACTTGTAGAATAGAATAATGTAGCAATCTGAACATCCAGACTCTTAAACCTCTAGTAAGTAGCTGGCCAGTAAATAGCTGTCCAGAAAAGGCTTTAATGTTGGGAAAGGTGGAAGGAGAGAAAAGAAGTGGATGACCAGCAGCAAGGTGGATGGACACTGTTACAATGGTGATGAGTGCACCGTTGGGAGACTTGAAGGAACATGTTGGGGTAGATTGTCATGGAGAAAATCTATCTACAGGTAGTCCTCAACTTATGACCATTCGTTTAATGACTATTTGAAGTTAACAGCACTGAAAAAAGTGACTTATGACCGGTCCTTGCACTTATGACTGTTGCAGCATCCCTGCAGTCATGTGATCAAAATTCGGGTACTTGGCAACCAGCATGTATTTATGATGGGGTCATCCTTGGGTCATGTGATAGCCATTTGCAACCTTCCCGGGGGCTTCCAACAAGCAAAGTAAATTGGGGAAGCCAGATTTGCTTAACAACCACTTGATTCGCTTAACGACCGTGGTGATTTGCTTAACAACTGCAGCAAAGAGGTCGTAAAATTGGGTGTGACTCATTTAATGGCTGCATTGCTTAGTGACAGAAGTTCTGGTTCCAACTGTGGTCGTAAGTCAAGGACTACCTGTATGTGGTCTTGATGGCGTGTGATGAATCAAATAGCTGGCCAACATTGTCTGGATTTGGCAGCTGAGGAGACTTGGGCCTGGCTAATACATGGGTGGGAAACCACCCTAGAATCCTGAGGTTGTAAGTCAAAAAGCATCTCAAAAGAAAAAAATTACAGAAACTACATACTATTGCCAAAAAAACTGCATGGTTGTGTGCAGGTAGTCACCATGAGGTGATCTTTTTTCAAGGGTTTATTTACTTTTTTTGTTAATCAAGGCATCCATAAGTTTTTTTTTTCCCTAAGCATAGGGAGAACAGTTGAAAAGAATGTCCTTTTCATTGCTTCACTTGTTTAGGACATCTATATACTACTAAAACTCTTGTGTCTGATTGCTTGTAACCTTCAGTTGGGTGAAACAGTGTATCATAGGGCAGCAATGTTTCAATCAAGGTACATCAAATAGGCTAACTTACAGAATGCATCCAAAATCTGGGACCCATTGCTCCTATGTGGCTGAAATTTTGGAAAGTGGTTGCCACTTCTGTGCTGCCGCCATGGTCACGTGATCCTCCTTTTCAGTGCTCCCTGACAGCTTCCCACAAGTCAATGGTGAAGCTGGCAGGAAGTCTAAGCTTGATTGTGGGAGGGTATGTGGGTGGGGTAGACTTATGAGGGAGAGAAGGAGGAAGGAAGGAAGGAAGGAAGGAAGGAAGGAAGGAAGGAAGGAAGGGGAAAGAGAGAGAA